CTGGAGCAGAGACAAAGGTAGAAGCACTAGCCCTCAGAAGAGGGAGGGCATGGCTCAGGTCATTGGTATTTAGCTCTTCTCATTGGCCCAATTTTCATCCCCTCCATCCAACATCCTCTTTCTTTCCTTCTTCCTGGGCCAGCTCTAGCCTGTACCCTCGCACCAACACCGCCCCCCTCCCCCCCACACACACATTCCTATGCCTTTCAGCTCTGTTCTAAGGTTCACCAGGCTCAGGCTTGCTGGCAGCAGAAAAAACTATGGGCTTGACTCCTCTGTATCATGCAGTCATGGGTCTCCCCTTCCTCTCTCTTACCTTCCACATCATTTCTTGGCTCTCCTCCAGGATTTCCTCCCATCTCTTTCAGGGCTGGGTCCTATGCACAAGGTCTGCCCAGTAACCCCAACAGCCCAAACAGGCCATGAAGTCTGGGGGTGAGTGTAAGGCACATGGGTTTTGGAGTCTAACAGACTGGCTTTCACAACCCAGCTTCTCCATTTATTAGCTCTGTCAGGTGGGGAGAGAATTACTGGTCAACTCACTGCTTTTGTGGGGATCACAGGATGTACTGTGTGTGGAGGGACTTAGCATCATACCTGGCACATGGCGGTAGTTACTGTTTTGTAGATGGAGAACCTGGTGTGGCAAGAGAACAAATGACTTGCCTTACCTGGTGGTTTTGTGGTCCAGGATTGCAGGGCCCTGCCTCATTGATAGCCTGGGTGCCCAACTACTCATCAATGGGGAGATCCACTAGCACTGGGTGCCACTTCTGCTAGCTCTGTCCCTACTAAAAGCAGCAGTACCAGTAAAACACCAAGGAGGGCCTCCATCTGGTATAAAGGCAAGCTGGGCTAATCACACTCACCATGGGCTGGTCAGCAGGCAGCCTTGGACAGGCAGGTCTGACTGTTCCCAAACTGCAGGGTTTTGTTTTTTTAATATGTTTTTATTGATTTTTTTAGATAGAGGAAGGGAGAGGGAGAGAGAGATAGAAACATCAATGAGAGAAATACATCAATCCACTGCCTCCTGCACACCTCCTACAGGGGATAAAGCAGGGTTATCTTGTTCACTTCTCCCCATAGGCCATTCTGTCCTGTGCTGAGTGCAGGTCTGTGTGGAACAGTGCTAGCTCAGAGCCAGCCCTCAGGTAACTTGGGATGAGTGAGCCTAAACACCTTGGTTTCAAAATTACCTTATCCAACTCAGACATCCAGCCTGGCCCCATTCGCCAGGGGCCCAGTGAACCCAGGAGATAAGCCCTGCTAAGAGCCAAATACTCCCTGGGTCCCAGGCAGCCCTGGCAGAAGTAGGCAGCACATGGGAATTCAAGTCCACATGTCCTGCAACACGACTTCCAGGGCAAAGCTGTGCTAAGAGTACCAACTGCTGTTTGGTGGTTTTCTCCATAGTGTGGGGGACCAAAGGGCCCTTTTGTCTACTTTTCAAAGCAGAGGGCCTTCTGAGAGGGTTTTGGAAGCAAGGCTAAGACTCTTGGGTTCTCATAAATCTTTTAATAACAGTAAATGAAGAAAACATTTGTAACAGTAAGTCCCATGGTGAGGGTTCATTTTCATTCAGGGATCTTCAACAACAAAAACACCTAAGACTAAAATGCAGAATGCTAAGTACACAAATTAATGACCATTTATTTCTGAAGGTGACTGCAGAAACCATTTTGGTACAATCAAAAGGTTATAGAAAACGGAAAACACATTACAAAATGCCCCAAGAGGTGAGCAAACTGGTAGGGGCACAGAGCACCCAAGAACCAGCTTGACAAAAATACTCACCCTGCTGTTGTTTAGGGGGATTAGGAAGACTGGTCCTAAAGGTAGCCATAGAGGGGGAATGGTGATGACAGGGAGGGGTCTGCCAAGTGCATAGCAATCTGCCTTGGGAATGAGAAAGGATGGGGGAGAGGGAGGCAGTAAGAGGGACAGAGTCGTTTGCCAGTATCCTGGCAGAAATAATTACAGATCAGACTATCTTATTGTCTTCACCACAATAACACCAATATAAAGGAAGAATTCTTTAAAATATAATACAAAACTGACACTGAAAGAAAGCAAGTTTCCAAAACAAGAGCTTTTTAAAATGACTTTTGTTTCATTTCGTGCCACTCAGTAGCCAACCACTGTACAAAAATGTCACAGACAAGAGCAACAACAAATGACTAGATTTTCCTGAGCACAAACTGGCTCAGTCTATATACAGAAGAGGAAGGCTCACTCCCTGTCATGGCTCTACCTACCACCCAGAGGGCAGGACAGGTTATGCAGCAGGAAGGCCCCTTCTCAGTCTGGGGCATTGCCAAGGAGCACATGAGGGCCTATGGGACCCCTTTCTTATGCCTGCTCCAGATTTACCAAAACCACCACTGCATCTGCATCTTATCCTGCAGAGTCATGCACGGCCCTTCTTTTCTCCTCCCATACCTCCCATTCAGTCTTCCAAAGAGGACAGATGACTCTGGATCAACATCTACAGATCCAGGCAAGACTTTTTGGCCAAGGGAGTGGAAGGAAGGGCTTTCTACCACACAATGAGCCACCCAGCTTACTACCAGGGCACCACCCAGCCCTGGCACCAGTGTCAGAAGACTTGCTGACAACTTGTTATTTATAGGGAGCTATGCCCACTCCCCAAAACGCTGAATTATCAGTGAGCACAAAGAGCAAAGCTCTGGCTGAGGCTGCAGAAAAAGAGATGATCTGATACCTAGCCTTGTACTGGATGGTACAGTGCGCTGACCACCTCATTTATCCCAAACATCCTGAAGCAGCTTTTGTGAGTGCTGAGACGTTCAAGGAGAAAGAGTATTGACTTGTGGAGACGGAGTCTGTGCTTTTCTCACAAGCCCACAGAGGTATGAATCACTGGGGAAGACGGGCCAGATCATCTTTGGTGTACAAGACCAAATACTGAGACTGTAAGCAGGCAGGACCATATTTCTGCTATTCTGAGCTGATGCTACAAGTTGGGCAGTTGACTAGACTGTTCTCTTTGGCCCAGATTCTTGGCCAAGGCTATCCCAGGGCTTCAGGGAACACTCACTTCTCTTCTTAGGGCTGTTTTAAAGAAACTGTCCACTTCTACGAACTCTGTCTTGACCGCACACTAAGCTCCCACACACTGGCTAATGACATGTGGAAGCTTGGCCAAGGTGGTTGGAGAACCTCCTTGGCACTAAAAGGAAAGCTCTGGGGAGGAGCTGGGAAGCACGGGCTCACAGGTAAAGGTGCCACCCTCTAAGGAAGGCTGCCATGGTTCTGGCCAGGTTACCTTTCTACATGGGCTTGGCCCAATGTAAGAGTGAGGTACAGACCAATTCAGATACATGCCGCTCCCTTAAACCTCAAACACAGTCCCTGACTCACTGTGGAGCCTCTAGATAGGCTCACTCTCTGTTCCTTTCATCTACATGTTTCTGAGCCAACCGGACTCCCAGAAGCCCTGCGTCTCCCCTTCACTTCTTCCTTCCCCTGACAGGTGTATCTGTCTCTGGCCTGGCCAGGGCAGGCATATGACTTTCACTCTCTTCTTTCCTTCCAACCAGCAGAAAGTGCCAGCCAGATTGGGACACTGAGCTGTAGCCAGGGCAAAGACAAGCTTTTAGAGGCATGCCAACACAGGAAAAGCTCAGGCTAACTGGCAACTTATCCATGCCACACAGACAGAAAGAGAGCTCATTCAGAGTCACTGATGCCACTATGGCTAGCTGAGGCACATCATCTGCCTACAAAGACTCCATGTACTGGTAGGGGACAGGACAGGCCCCCAGGAGCTCCACCCATGACCTCCTTCCAACTTTTCCTTTTGTGGAGAGGCTGAGGGGCACTGAGGCCTTGCACATTTCCTCATCAGCCCATCCTATACACTGAGCAGTTTGATGGTGGGCAAGGGAAATCCAGCCAATCAAAAGGTGCCTCTTCTGGAAGGCAACCCTAGTGAGATGAACTAAGAAAAACTTGTCCAAGCACTCAAAGACAACATAAAATGAAGGCTACATGTCATGAGGAGCTCATAGGGACTAAGAGCACCCAGTGTTCTCCCTCCTGTTCTCCCACACCCCAGGAATTGATTTCCTCAGTGCCAGCAGGCCTCTGCAAAAGGGTAGTTCTGCGGTTGCTTCCCTGGGCCTCACCTTGCTAAGAGACTCTCCTACATTCTTCTGCTTCCTGTAGGTCCATTTGCTAAAATCATGATCACTGATTCACTGAAGTTCAATCTATGTCTAATTCAGTAACGTCTGAAATATTGGAACTGGCCCAGGGCAACTCGGTTGCCTAGAGAGGGAAATGGAAGGGGAGGCCCACCAGAGGAAGTTACTGAACCATCTTTTCTGTTCTTTTTTAAAAAAATATTTTTAATTGTTTTTTCAGAGAGAGAGGAAGAAAGAGAAACATCAATATGAGAGAGAAGCATTGATTATTTGCCTCCTGCACACCCCCTACTGGGGATCAAGTCCGCAATGTGGGCAAGTGCCTTGACCAGGAATCGAACTGGTGACCTCTTGGTGCACAGGGCAACACTCAACCAACTGAGCCACACCAGCCAGGGCTCTTTACTATTTTTAAACAAATCTGTTCTTAGTGTGAGCTAACAAGGAATCACCAAAAGCCCATCCACTGCCTCCTTTCTTGAGATCCATGCATGATTAATCTCAAGTCTTTCAACAAAATGTCTTCCATTTGAAGTACTTGAATCTTCAGCCATGGGGACTTGATTCCTTGGTACCTCCTTTTAACCTAAACGTGGGCTTTGAGGTGGGCAGGGTGGGGAGCATGTGATGCCTGCCACGTTAAACATTTCAGCACTGAGTCTGGCTACAGTGATGACATCTGGACCTAGAGAAACAATACTAGCAGAATCTGTATGCCCCCAAAACCTGGATGCTGACATATCCTGTAAAACCACAAAATGTATTGACAAGAGGCCCTACAGACACAGGCCCTGATGCAAGGATTCTCCAAACTCAAACATCCAAAAATAAATGAAAAATCAAATAAATAAAATTCAAAGAGCAAAAAAATAAAAATAAAAAGCCCCAAAACAACTCTAGCTCATTCTTCCCTGAAGCTGCCTTTAAAAAGAGAGAAAGAGAGAAGATTTAAGGGGCACTCAAGATTGAAGTGGCATCTATTATCAACATTAAACTAAAATGAAGCATATGATTCAAATCACTATTTTCTCAAGTTACCACTTCTGTTGATTAATTTCTATGCTCACTTCTGATTGGAATATGGGTCAGTTCTCACAGGCAAAATGTACCCAGGATCCTGCCTAGTATTAGTTATGGACATTTTAACCTTGTTCACTTTGGATTTGCCATTGCAGCAGCTCTCTATTCACCTCAATGGAATCAAGCCCTTGGGCTGGGTAGTGCCCCACCTCCCACTGCAGGCAGCCTCCTGGAGAATGTGGCTGGTTGGCTGCTTGCTTTGAGTCATGGGACACCAATGGGAAGAATCTGGCCAGTTCTATTTTGGCCATGAGCTGGGAAATCCCTTGGCTCTTGGCTTGCCGCTGGTATAGAAAAAGGCTTCAGTCCCCTTATGGTAGGGGCTGTGCTGGAGACAAAAGGGGACCCCAGCATAAACCTGTAGGTCCCTGGCAGTGGAGAAATGAAACACAACCAATTCCATCACTGCGATGCCAAAAGAACTACTGCTTGTTGTTCCCTTTCTCCTCAACCAGCTGTTGTTAAAGCACCAACAAGCAGAGTGAAAGCTACTGACTACCCTCTCCCCATGTAAGGCCACTGGGAGCAGGGAGAAAGAGCAAAGGGGAGGAGGTCAAATCCAGCTGCCAGCACTACACCCCAGGTTCCAGGCGACATCCTGAGAGGAAGAGCTGGGGAAGGAAGACTGGTGGAAGAAAGGGACAGAGAGAAGGAAAAAAGAAATACATCAAATATCCTACTGCCCTCTCCCATGATTTCATTAAGAACTGGGTGTTCTCCAAGTCAAGTCAGGACTTGTTTCCTCAGGGAGAAAAAAAAGCACCTTCAGTCTATTTTCTTGGCTGGAAGCCGGAGCAAATCTAGCAGATATTTACACAAGGGCCCAACCATGTATGAGAACAGGATGACCAGCTTCCCGTGGGTCATGGTCATGAGAGTCTGGTGTCCCGAGGCCCAGATGCGATACCAGGGGCCGTAGAATGGGTCTGAGATGGCCGGACACAGCATGTTGTTCAAATTCACTTCGGTGACCTGCAGGGACAAGGGAGGTAGAGTGAGCGTTCACCATCCTTAGGCTTTCTCTGGCTTCTGCCAGTTCAGCCATCTATAGCTAAAGGGGGACTAGACAAGTAGGGATTGACAAATCCCCACCTGTTAATAACAGGATTTTTTTCCCTTAGGTTTTATGAGTGGGTCAAGGCTAGAGTCCCCTGGAGGTGATGGGGAAGGCTGTCTGTCCACTGGAAGAGCTGTTTGGTTTTGCTCTATCTTGCCTTCTCGGTTGAGCGTAGAGCCCATTGCTATTCTTAAGCATCTACTATGTGCCTAGTTCCTGGAGAGGTATTATGGTAGAAAAGAACAGTCAACAGCATGATCCCTGCCTCCACATAACTGGCAACCAATCAAGTTGGCATGATCAGTCTACCACATCTGACCTCAAAGCAGACAAAGCTCACAGGGTTTTCCCCAACAGGAGATCTTCAGTGTACAGAATGGGGGCCAAGTTTTCATGGAAAATTTCATGAAGGAAGTGGCACTGAATGGACTCATGAAGGATGGATGGGGGTCACGGCGAGAAATGGAGTAAGCAGAGCCCTCCTTGTAGGAGTCATGGCCTGAGTCAGGCCCAGAAGTGGGACTGAGTATGGTGATGTGAGGACACTGACTCCTCTGGAATCAAAGAGACCCAGTAGAGAGCAGTATGAATAAGGGTGTGAAGGTCATACTACTTCATTTTTGTGTGTGCAGGAAGCATGCACACCTTCAGCAAGGAGCTCAAACCACACCCCAAAGTCAACCAGAGCAGAACAATATGCCAGGGTGGGAAAAAAAGGTAACTTCTTCTACAAAGGCACTGGTGACATCAGTTATATGCCCTAATCCTGCCAGGCCCTGCAAGGCTCCACATGAAAAATGCTACATTACTGCCGCTCGCACACAAAACCAGACATGCCACTCCTGCCCCAAGGACATCACAGCACCTTCCTTCCAAAGCCCTTCAAGCCCATTCACATTAAAGACAAGTCTTCACCACCTGTTGGGGAGGTTGGGGGTTTTGTGCCATGTCACAGAGAGGTAGAGAGCTCTCCACCCTTGAGGATGAGGTGACTCACCCAGAGCAGTGGCAGAGCTAGGACTTGAACTTGGGCCTTCTGACACCCAGCCCCAGCCCTGAGCTCTTCCTATTCACTTTGCCACCAATAGACACTCATGCACTCAGCAGTCTTGGGCTCTGGGTAACTCAGCTACTGAGCCCAGCCATCATCTATGCTCCAGGCAGGTCTGAACACCCCAGAATGCACAGCGGCCCTCCAACATCACACTTCCCCTGGCCACACAGCTCAGGGTTTGGGAATAGGCCCAAAAGCCTACCGAGGCCCAGAGCGAGGGTTAGGGTCTTGCCTCCCCATGGAATCCACAGCAAACCACTGTCCAGTTGCAGCTCACTGTTTCTGACCCAAGTGGCCAAGAGTGAAAGGCAGCACCCTTACCTCTCCATGGATGAAAGAAGCAGCCATTACCAAAAGATTCAGAAAACTCTTAGAAAAGTCAAGGTTATAGATCGCAAATCACAACCCAGACACAACAATCTGACATCCTGGCCTTTGGCATCTTGTATTTTCAAAACAAAATGATACAATAGCGCCAACCAGGATTATAAAGATTTACGGAGAACTCCAAATAGAGGGGATAGAAGGGGATAGAACCAAACTTACCAGGCCCAGGATCTGTAAGACGCTGAAGTGATAAAAGAACATGAGGCCAGTTGAGAGAAGGGCCCACCGGAAACTGCTGAGGGGTTCTGGGGTGTAAGCTCCTGGGGGAAAACGGGAGATGGTGAAATAGCAGGGTTGGTGACCCACTTCTCCTCCTTTGCCCCACGAAGTGCAGGTGCTGAGGCCACAGCTGCTGCCTACTGACCCTTTCACTCCTCAGTGACAGCTACCTAAGAGACAGCCCCACTATTTGGGTACTCCAATAAGCCCCTTCCCAACCTATGTTCTGCCATGTAATTCTGGGGCCATTACAAAGAGAGGGATTTTATTTATTGTAAAAGTAATAAAATAAAATGTGACTAGAATTGAAATACTCTGTAAGTCAAAGTATATAGATTTTTCATATGAAAAAGAATGTAAAATATCTTAGTTTTATATTGATTACATGTTGAAATGATATTTTGAATATACTGAGTTAAATAAGACATTATTAAAATTTAGTTTAAAAAAGTAACACATCTCATTAAAGGAAATTTAGAAAATGTTAAAAAGTAGAAACAAGATGGAGGAAAAGAAGAAAAACATTCCCAGTGTTCTATTACCCAAATGCAACTACTGCTAACCGGGAGGGTGTCTCTTTGGTTCTTTTCTCTACGCCTTAGGAGTTTCTTTTCTTTCTTTTTAAAATTTATAATTGGTATTTTACTGTATATATAATTGCATATCCTTTATTTCCACATTTATTTTAATCATTCCCTCATGTTTCAGAAGAGAAACGTTGTTTATTGGGTATGGTATGGTGGTTGAGAATGTTAACTTTGATGTCAGACAGATTTGGTTTTAAATCTGGATTCTACCACTTACTGGCTGTGTGACCCTGGAAAAGTTACTTAAACTTCCAAAATCTCAGTTGAGTTTTCTCTAAAATGGGGATAATAGTCCTACCTACTTCTTAAAGTTGTGAGGAGTAAAGGACATAATATATTGAGAGCTCTTAGCATGAGATCTGTTACAGTGTAAATGTGCAATTCGTGTTAGATGTTATAATTACCACACCATTATTATTATTCAAATAACTAAATAATATGCCATATCCAATGATTGTGCCATGTCCCAACTGCTAGACAACTCCCTCCCGTGGTATAGCAAGAATGATATATTTTCCCTCTATTGTCACTAAGGATCACCATACCAGTAGGCTTAGATGTATTCCAGAGCTTGCAGGGTAGGGGTATGGTTTATAGAATTTTGTGAGTGTCACTCTGAATTGAGACTTGGAGGGCAGTGGTCCAGAATGAAAGGAACCTGGAATTCTCTACCCAAGTAAGTAGGTGGCAACATTACATCTTGGAGTAGTATTTTCCCAAGTAAGTCTTTCACTGATTCATCCATTCATTCATCAGTTATTAGCACCTATTATATTTGGTGGAAGGTGTGAAAACAAGGAATACTTCTTGGTTCAGTGAGCACAGGCTCCTGAAGGATAAATGGGACTTAAGGAGGGACCTGGCTATGGCAGAACAGCCTATACTAAGGCAGATGTGAGTGGAGAGCCAGACAATTCAGAGAATAATGGGTAAGAGCTGGGGCCACAGAGGAGAGTGTGCTGGGGTAGTGAACAGAAGTAAGACTTAAGAGGTTGACAGAGCTGGTCTGCTCCTGCTCCAAGCTGGGCCACATAGGACTTTAGGAGCCAGGCTGAGGGCTTTGGGCTCCATCCTGTGCTTGCAGGGTCATGAGCCCAAATGCCTCAAGTCTCAGGCAGGTAACTGGGAGTAGGAGGGTGACCAGGGACAGAGACATTAGGGATGCTGGAGATTGGCCAACTGGAAAACCCATGCCTTTTCTAAAGAGGACAACCACCACAGCACCAGCCGATCATTCCCTGCAGGGACGTGGGCCCAGAGTTAGCAATTTTTTCACTTTTGCAAGAGAAGCCAGAAATATGAACTTTCATGTGGAATTTCCTGACTTTTTAAAAAATACATCTTTATTGATTTCAGAGAGGAAGGGAGAGGGAGAGCAAGAGAGAGATAGAAACATCAGTGATGAGAGTCATCACTGATCGGCTGCCTCCTGCATGCCCCTAACTGGGGATCGAGCTCACAACTGGGCATGTGCCCTGACAGGGAATCGAACCGCGATCTCCTGGATTCTAGGTTAATGCTCAACTGCCAAGCCATGCCCAGCTGGGTGGAATTTCCTGATTTTTAAATGTTGGCAAATAATTCAAAATATTTTAAGCATGATCAATGAACCAAAAAACATGTCTTCTTAGATGGATTTCAGCCCATGGATGGCCAGCTTAGAGCTCTGCTGCAGAACCATAGAAAACAGTGGAAGGTTTGAAGCTAGAAAGTGATACAATAAGATGTGTGCTTGAGAAAGATCATCCTCGCCCACTAGCGAGGGGGGGATGGCTTGAAGCAGAGGGAGCAGAGGCTGGAGACTGATAAGGAGACTTCTTCAGGAACCCAAAGAGGAAAGACGATGGATGGTCTTTGAACATAATAGCAGTGGAGCTGGAGAAAAATGGAGTCAAATCACCAGAAAGTGGTGGAAGGTTGGATGTTGGGAGGAAGTGTGAGGAAGGCTATAGGAAGACTCCCAGGCTTCTAGTTTGGGCATCATTAGGTTGATAGTGCCATTTATTGCGATGGAGAAGACAGGAAAAGGCAGATTGGGGAGAAGACAGGGAAAAGATGAGGCCAATTTTAGACATGTTAAAATTGAGGTGTCTGTGGAATATCTTAGTGAAAATATCTCTTCGATACCTGGATGCACTGTGGGAAATATGGTGTGATGGATGACAGTGTCAGCACCAGATCCTGGCACACACAGGTTTTCAAATCTTGGCTCTTGTCACTTATTAACACCAAGGCCTTGAGCAAGCCTCAGTATCTCTTTTTTTCAAATATGTTTTTTATTGATTTCAGAGAGGAAGGGAGAAGGAGAGAGAGATAGAAACATCAATGATGGGAATCGTCGATTGGCTGCCTTCTGCATACCCCCTTTTGGAGATCAAGCCCACAACCCAGCTATGTGTCTTGACTGGGAATCTAACCGTGATCTCCTGGTTCATGGGTCAGCACTCAACCACTGAACCATGCCAACTGGGCAAGGCTCAGTATCTCTTGAATTCAGTTTCATTCATCTATAAAATGAGAAACCACTGCCTACTTCACAAAGTTCTTGGATAGATGAGGTGAGATAATTTAAGCAATGATTGTAGTGTCAAATCTGGGATTTGACAAATGCTAATTATTTTTATTATTACAGGTATACCTCGGAGATATTGTAGGTTTGGTTCCAGACCACTGCAATAAAGTAAGCCACACAATATTTTTTGTTTCCCAGTACATATAAAAGTTATGTTTACATTATACTGTAGTATATTAAGTATGCAATGGCATTATATCTTTTAAAAAATAATATACATACCTTAATTTAAAAACATTTATAAAAAATGCTAACCATCATCTGAGGCTTTGGTGAGTCGCAACCTTTTTGCTGGTGGAGAGCCTTGCCTTGATGTTGACAAAAACACAGTATCTGTGAAGCTCAGTAAAGCAAGGTATACCTGTTTAGGGGTGGGGAACCTTTTTTCTGCCCATGAAATCATTTGGTCTGGCCCTGCCAAGGCAACTGCAGACAGGACGCGAAATTCAATAAACTCAATTAAATGTTTGACCAAATATAGCAGGCTAATTTTTAAGTTGATAATTTTGTATGGTAGGGCCAGACCAAATTATTTTGTGGGCTGTATACAGCCTTTAGGCTAGACATTCCCCACCCCTGATGTATGTGAATCACAAACTCAGTGAAGAGGACGGGGCTGAACATCCAGATATAGGTGTCATCAGTACATAACAGTAACCAAAGTCACAGGAGTGTATGTAGAGACCAAGAGAGGAAGAAGGCCAGAGGAAGAACATCAAAGAACACCATGGGGT